AAATGACAGGGTACATTTTAGATTTGTGGCGATGCAGTTCTGGGGTCACCCTCACTTAAGAGAGAAGGCCTTTTTTTTTTTTTTTTTTTTTTTTTGAGAGAAGGCCTTTTTGCTGGGCATAAATGTTATGTGGGGCTTCAAGGCAAGAATCTCTTTCAAATTACTCTCAAAATAATCAGGGGCCCTCCCTGGTGGTGCAGCGGGTTAAAACATAGCACTAAGAAGTTAAAGTCACTTTAGCATGAGTTCGATCCCCACCCCTGAGGTGACCCACATGGCATGGCAGACCTCTTCTGACCTGCCTGCTGCTCCCCTCAGTAGTGTACTTTGTCAGTCTGCCTGTTCTGCTCCCCATTCTCTCTGGTGAATCCTCTCACCACCCCTGCACCTCTGGTCTGTACCCTAGTAAATAAATCTTTAAAAAAATAATGCATCAAGTGCTACCTCTACTGTGAAGATTTCTACAACTACCTCATCCCACCATCACTCTTCTTTTTCAGATACGCTGTGTGCTAGTGTTAAACTTTTTACTGACTCTGGTCTCTCTCTCTCTCCAGCTATGTGCTATGCTCATTGTAGACTGAGTATGTAAGTCTATGTCTGTCATATCTCTCACAGGGCCCTGTGCAGAGCTGAATCCCATTAGAGCTTAATAAATACCCATTGCCTCTCACAAATCCAGTTGGGAACTTACCCCTTGTGAACTGGTGTTTTTTTGCCTCCCAGAATAATGACTCTCTTCTCTCTTCATTGGATATGGTATAAGATCAGTTAGTTTTGTTCAGGTTTATCTGCTTTTCAAATTTTCTGTTGTTGTTTCTTTTCTCCTCTTGTTCCTGGCAACTGTTAATACTCCAGTCTCCATGGTATACATTGCATGGATACACACACACACACACAGAGTAGGGATGAATGTGGGAAATAAATCATCTGTAGTTTATAGTATAAAATGGAAAAGACAAATAAGAAATCTTTTATTTCATCTCATTTGACTTTATCCAAGTTTTCTCTAGAGCAATATGCTACAAAAGATTGGGGGCAATGTCTACTTGGACCAGGACCTAATATTGGTTAACCCCAGCCAGACTTAACATGAGAATGGACTTGTTTGTGAATCTAAAGTTGAATGGCCTGTAATGGGATTAAGGAGCTAGCTTAGCATTTACCTGCTATCCAAGAAGAATGGACAGTATTTCCTGAGACACTGTGGGGTTGTTTTTTACTAAGTTTAGTATTATAGCCTCATTACATTCAAGTATTCTTAGCTATTATATTTACATCAGCATTTAAGACCTGATAGTAGGTATTATCTAGGAATAGAAAAAAGCCTTAAATTGCACACCAAAATGTTACCAGTCATTTTCTCTAGATGATGGGGAAATAGTTTAACAGCATTTTCTGTTTTTTTTTCTAGTTTTAATATTTATGCAACTACACACTGCAAGAATACTTTCCACAGTGACTACTATAATTGGTCCTTGTGAGCAAAAATGATATCTGTCACTACATTAACTAGCAGTTTTACTAACAGGTAGGAAAAGCTTTCTAGGATAGTCTTTTTAACAATGGAGAGAAGTAATACTTTGGAGAAGTAACACTTTAATCCATTTAACAGAATACATCATAGAATTTAAAGCCATTTGTCAAATATTCTTTTAGGTACATTAATAAATATTGGTGAATAATTTCTGTGTGTAAATCTTAGTATATAATAGCAGTTGCAGTTTGTAGTAGAAATGTGTGAAGTCTTTCTGTGGAAAAGTCTAAGGGCCAAGAACTTCATATATTTTGTTGGACAGATAACTTCCTTCTCACTAATATGATTTTCATAGAATATTTAACATAGATCAGGCAAAGAGGACCCTGCACAATTTTCAGTTTTGCTAATAGAAGTGATTGAAGTACAAGAGCTAAGAGGGAGATTGGGAAAGGGCGTGGGAATGGTACAAGCCCAAATTTTAAATCACTCCCCGGGGTCTTTGGCTCTATGCTTGAATATTAGAAGCATTAAAAAACAAACAGAGCATAGCTATTTTACTGGCCAAGAAGCATAGCTGCAGCTGCTAAAACACACAACAGGGTAATGCAGTTGAGTCAGCAACTCTTACCTGGGTTGCTGTCATCTCTAGTTACGTTAATTATCTCACTAATCTTCACAGGAAACCTGTGCTTTCGGGGCATTCTTGCCACTTTATAGCTAAAGAAGCTGAGGCTTACAAAGTTCACATCACTTGCCCAGTATCACAGAGCCGTAAAGGACAAGAACTACTTTCCAGTTTGGAAGTGTATCAGATGGAATGAAGGGAAAGCCTAGGTAGCAGGGAAGCCAGGCAAGGCCCATCACAGAGCAGTCCTGTGTGAGCACCACACTTGGCACCTGTGTGCTGCTGCTGGACCCTCAAATTGTCAACTGTCCCTTTGTGTCATTCTTTTGAAATTCTAGCAGGAACATCTTTTTGGTGAACATTATTTCACATGTTAGCATTCTAGCTCCCAGGAAGTATAATATTTGCCTCTTTGGCTTCTATAGTAGATGATTAAGTCCTGCTTCCTACTGAGACAGTTGTAATTAGAGATTCCTCCAATAGGAGAGGTGTTTGGATGCTAGCTAGCTGGGCAGCAACTGTACAAAAGGGTAAATGCTCTCTATCAGCATTGGTGGCCACCGTCCCATGGCATTCTGCTGAGGATGGTTCATCTGGGAATCTGCCTTTGCCATGGGCCTGACTGAGGCCGACAGTACACATAGCATAGGAGCCTTCACGCTGAAGGTGTTTCCTGATTCGCTAAAACTGATTACTACAGAGGTGAATTAATCTCAGTACCAGCCAGAAGCTGGGAGCAGCCTGAGGAGGGAGTATTTAGAAAAGGGATCCTTAGGAAAACCCCTTTCCAGTTTCTGGGTTTAACTGATCCTTAGTATGGTGTTTGGAGACCCTAAATTTCTATGATTATGTTACAATATGTCATTGTATCTTTACCTGACTCACCATATTAATTTTCTTAAAGTGGAAAGGAAAAAAAATTTACATGTACCACCTTTCTTCACTAATTCACTAGCATATCTTTGTCCTTCCAGACTTTCTTGACCTTCTAGGATTAGTGCGCACTTTCTATAAGTATATTCAGGATCTCACATTTTGCCCAGCCTATAATCGGCACTTTAAAAAAATTTCACGAAATGAATGAAATCACTTTGCTGACAATCTTTGAATGGGATGGAATAGATTTTTGTGACATGGGGGGGGATTTATAGTCATGTATGTTTGAAAAATTTTATCATTTTCTTAGATTGCAAAGGATGAAGGGTTACAGTGACGTGCTTTCTAATTTTGTTGTTCCAGGTGTTCCAGGACTTGGGGACTGAAGTACTGTCTGGAGCTGCCAAAGGCTACAACATTTGCCTTTTTGCCTATGGACAGACAGGCTCTGGGAAGACATACACCATGCTGGGGACCCCAGTGAGTGTTAGCCTGAATTTTGTATCGCCCTTGCCACTGAGAGGTAGAACGTGTTTTCCATAGTCTGTCCACCTTCAAGATGAGTGGACCCTCTTCTGGAATGAGAATGGGTTTCTCAGCACTTTAGTTGTAAACTGAGTGATCAACCCTTTTTTATTAAACCCCAAAGGACCTTGGAATTTATGACTGCCTTGATGAAGCAAACCTCATCAGCACTTCTACACGTCTCATACTGTTTCCAAGTTCCAGTTGAAGCTTTTCAGCACACTTAGGCGTGGCAAATACCTGCACTAAATCTTACTGTTGGTTAGAGCTGTGCAGACATAATGCTACTTGTGTTAATGCTGAGTGTTAAAGAGAAGCAGCTGAAGCAGTTACTGAAATGGGAACTTGCAGAAGTGTGTAGAACTTAGTGAGAGTCTTCTTTCATCATCAGGAGAGTCGAGTTCCTCAAGCCCCAACCCTCTCATTTGTGCTGGGTCTCTCCTCTCCCGGGGTGAACCAGGCAAGTCAATGACAAATAACACTACACCGGGATGTTCTCTGGGACACTTCTCCTTCTCAAAGATACTCCCTGCTGCCTTGAGCCGGGGAGAGTTTGCCCATGTTTAGTGTAGTTTCATGTATTTGAAATTTAAAAAGGAAAATCCCCACCAAGCCAGGGGTATAAAGTCCTTAAACCTGAGTCTAGGTAACCACTAGATCAAAATTGAAGAAGCCACTGCTCTTTAAATGTGCATTAAAAAAAAAAAAGTATTTTGAATAGCATGTGGTTTTGAATACCAAACCTCTTATTTGTGCAAAGATAGGAAGTAGGGTTTTAGGAGGGGCCACAGTGATAAAGTGGATTTTTCTGAGAATGCTAGAATGTTAATTGTATGAAAGGAGGAACTTGGGTTTGCTGGTGATGCCTTTATTTGCTCCAATAAGTGTCTCCTGAGAGCACTTGCAAATAGTCTTCTACATACTGCTGCCCAGAGCAAAGAGCCTCACACAAGGAAATCACAGGCCTATTACCATGCTAAGGTGGTTCTTGGGTATTGGGGGGAGAGTGTCACCATGAGTAAACAGTAACGTGTTTCTTCCTTTTATTCTCCAGGCTTCTGTTGGATTGACACCACGGATATGTGAGGTACAGACTCTTTTGAGCGGATCCTCTCAAAGTAGGTCTCCTTTGTACACCCCTTTCAGTAAGAACACAACCCTCTGGTTTGTGCAGGGTCTGTTCATCGGGGAGGAAGACCATGGCCCACCGCCTTCCTCCTGTAGGATAAAAGTAAGGTGAGAAACTATCAGGCTCCAGGGCCTAAAATGTTTCTGTTTCCATTCTGAATTCTAGCATGGTCAGCTGTCTTCTCTTTGCTTCCAGAGTCATCCACATCCACAGAATGGAGAAAATCCACAGGAGAAATATCTTGCCACCCAGCGAGATGAGAAACATACTTAGGCCCTTGGGTGTAGGATACTTAATTCCTATCCTCAGGCATAACCATGCAGATGTCCACTTCGGTGGACCAGATTGCGCTGGCTGTTGTTCCTTCTCTTACTGTTCTGCAGTTTCATACTAGCTTTTGGAACTTCTCCTCTGGTCCTCTCCTGGGATGTTCTCTGGTGAAGTAGTTCCCAAACTCTAGCTCCCATCTCAGTTTTGGCTAATCCAAGATAAAGTTTTAACCAATATATAATAGAAAACTTTTCATTAATTCCATCTATTACACTTTTTTGGTGTTCAAAATGTACTTTTTTAAAAAAGGATTAAGATGTAAATCATATACCATGAAATCCATACTTTTGGGTATGTGTCCAGTGCTTGTTATGATATTTGTAAAGTCCAGCTAACATCACCATCCAATTCCAGAATGTTTTCATCACATCCCGAAGAATAAATGTACTGTTTAAAAGTAAAATGATGGTGAATATGTATATTAATGTTTTATTGTCTATGAAATCTGGCAACCACTGTTCTGAGTGGCAGCTGGGATTCTGGTATCCATAGACAAGCAGGGTAGGGAGAAGCATCTTATGAGAAGAGTGTACAGAGTTTAGGTTGGAGCTGGAGACTCCCCCCACCTTTTTTCCTTCTGTTATTATTCTTGTGTTTTTGGCAGCTAATACCATAGGCAGCATTCATGTGGTGCAGAAGAACTTTCTGTGAAAGTCTGCTTTCTTATTTAACAAAATCTTTACTGATTTTAGCAAGGAACTATAGCTGTAATATTATCTTTAAAAAGAATAAAATGTCATGGATATCTATAAGATAGAATACCTTATACAAATCCCAGTGCATAAAACAACTAAAATGAGAGTTGTCCTGCTTAAGCTAGGGGTGGGGACCAGAACCCGTCTCACCTAGCTTCCCTCATTGCTTGACTGTGTCCTCTGAGGTGATTTCACAAAGCAACAGGATTCAGGGTTCACATTTGAAAGCCATTTCAAGAAACGAGCTTATAGATTCTTTGCTGTGGCTACCTGTGGCTGATCAAGGCAGGTCGCAGCATACCCTAAAGCTGAAATAGCCTCTTGAAGGCTACACTTGAACCAACACTGACATTCTATACCTAAAACAGTCACTGCTCCACACAGGTGAATTGGTGGTGGGAGGCCCATAAGGATTACAACTGAGAAGAAAAAATGCTCAAAATGAAGACTGATATAAAAAAATATAAATATAAATATAAATAAGTAAATAAAAAGATAATAACTAGGAAAAAATAAAAAATAAAACAGCCACTGCTCAACACCCCATGATACATGCAGAAACAGACTCCAGGGGGAGCTCTGGTTTAACCAGAATATCAGTCTAGAGGTGGAATTTGAGTAAGAACTAGGACCTTCTCATTTTTTGACTCATTGTTCCTCTCCCCACACACACCTTTTATACCCCCAAATCTAATTTTACACTGTATTTTCTCCAAATCTAATTTTTTAAAGATATTACCATTTTCAAAATCTAATTGCCTTTTTCTGAATGTCCCTAGTTTCCTAGAAATCTATAATGAACGTGTGCGGGATCTGCTGAAGCAATCTGACCCCAAAAGGTCCTATACCCTGCGCGTCAGGGAGCACCCAGAGATGGGGCCCTATGTACAAGGTGAGCCACTTTGGTCCTGCGGTCTGATTCCAGACTGACACCTGAGAATTTCTTGTGATGGTCAGTAAGTCATTCAACAAATGTATACTGAGCACTTTCCATGTGCCAGCCCCTATTTAGTAGGCACTGAATATGAGCCAATAAATAGAAAAGACAGTCCTGATATCACAGGTAAGCTTACAACCTAGTCATAAACCTGTATTACAAGTTATGATAAAGGCTAATAAAAGATAAATACAGTGACAGAAATGAAGATTGGGTGAGGTGGGTGACGCAACCTCATGGGGCTGTCCGGAAAAGCTTCTCCCTGAGGGCATTTAGGAGGCAGTCAGGTGAAGAATGGTGTAGCAGAGGGGAAAAGTATTTGAGATGAAGGGAGCACCTAACTAAGTAACTCAGAGAAGGTGTGGTGACTTTAAGGTAGTTTGTGTGTCTAGAGCTTGGTGAGTGAGAAGGAAAATCTCTTGGAACAAGGTTGGGTCAGAGGTAACAGATCCAAAGAAGAATGAATTGACTCCCAGATTACTGTTTCCTTTTGGGGTGGTACTTCCTTTGGGGGGTGATATTCAAGAAGATTAGGAGATGTTAGACATGGTGTAGGGTTTTCATCATCAAATTCTAATATTTGGTAGCATGTTTTATTTCATTAGGCTAGACCTTGTTATTAAATAGGAATAGTGGGTTCTTTTGTGGAGGAAGTTTTATTACCCTTTCAGGTCAGTCAATAAGAAGTAACATATGAATTTTATGTTCCTAGTCCCATAACAACGTGCTAATTTCACTCCTGGTGAGGAAAGGGACATGAAAGATGAATAAGTGGTCTCTTATCAAGCTATGACCAGTAAAAGACTTAGTATGTTGCTAGTCACTGATTCTGTTACCCATGTCTTTACTGAATGTGTCATCATAAATGACAGCCTGGGAAAAACAACAAAAATCCCATTTACTTTGTTGGGATCCAGTTGGAGTTTCCTCTGTAAAGCTCAGTGGATCTACATTCTTCTATAAAGCAGTACTTTGAAAGCAGACTGAGTTGATACAACATTGCTATAACTTTTCTACTTTTTCTTTTATTTTAATATGTGTGGGAACTAGAGGGTACTTCAGACATGGTGCAAATGTCCAAAAGATAAAATAAATAAATATAGCTTAAAAAACAGTTAAGGGACAGTTACAAGGTGATGGAGCTAGTTGAGAAAGGGTTGGAACTAGGATCGGAGTTGAGGAATGAGATCAGATCCTGTGCAGCAAGGAGAGCCTTTGATCGGCATAGTAACTAGACATGAGAATTCATGGGAGGTCATATAGCTTGGGCCCTATATCCAATGTCAGTGACAGGATCAGGCCTAAAAAATACCAGGGCTTGGCCCTCCCTGGTGGTACAGAGGATTAAAGTGCAGCACTATGAAGCTGGAAGTGGTGTGAATTCGATCCCCACCCCGGAGGTGACCCACATGGCACAGCAGACCTCTCCTGACCCGCTCGCTGCTCCCCTCAGCAGTGCACTTGGTCGATCTGCCTGTTCTCTTCCCCACTGTCTCTCTGGTGAAACCTGTCATTGTCCCTGCATCTCTGGCCTATACCAGTTCTGTATTCATTAAAAACAAAACAAAACAAAACAAAAAAACAAAACAGGGTTTTTTGTATACTTTCAGAGAATGAACCCTTGGTTGGGGAGATGTTTGATAAGAGGTGATAATAAATCAGGAAGGCTTTTATATTCTTTGAGTGAAAAATCTGTACTTTTTTTTATAAGTTTATTTTTACATCATTTTGTACATTTTTTTTTTCATCTCAATTGTAATCCCCGTGGGTTTCCCATCACCAAGTCACCCATGTGCCATCATCATAGTGAAAAATCTGTACTTTTTTCAAGTTGTTACAAATATAGGTGGATGTTTCTCAATTTGTTCATGAAAGCCATGAACTCAAATAGTACAGAACCAGCATTGTAAGCTGAGACCCTGAATAGTCACAGTGAACTCTGTTATCCTGCCTCTTCTAGCATTATGGAAAACATTTTTTTTAAAAGATTTATTTATCTATGCATACAGAACTGGGGTACAGACCAGAGGTACAGAGGCAGTGAGAGGGAAAAGAACAGGCTGACTGATGAGTACACTGCTGAGGGGAGCAGTGGGCGGGTCAGGAGAGGTCTGCTGAGCCATGTGGTCACCTCCGGGGCGGGGATCAAACTCATGCTAAAAGCTTTAGCTTCTCAGTGCTGTGCTTTAACCTGCAGCACTACTGGGGAGGATCCGGAAAACATTTTTTTTTTAAGGTGAAAGATTATGCAATCTGAAGAGAAACCAGAGTATGAAAAACTTACTTTTTTAAGTGTCTGCTTTAACTTTTCCCTTTGTATTACCTGCCTGCTGCCTACCTGTTTGTATCTGTGTCCATCCATCATAATGTCCTCCTATCTATTTAGCTGTTTGTCCCCAGGTTCATCCATTTGGTGAATACCAGAGTGACTTCTGAATTGAAACCGATTCTGTGGGAAATTATTGAACCCTACTGGAGGACTGTACTGTTGAGGAAGCAATTGGAAATATGAAAATACCATAAAAGCTTTAAAGAATTTATAATTCTAATTTAGAATTGTGAGGTGAGATTTGGTGGCTGCCTAAATCTAAGGAAAGGAAAGGTATATAGCCTGTTAGTTTTCCATTAAAAAGACTATTAATTAGATGATAGATTAAGTTGAAATTTAAAATTTACAGGGCTCTACCTAAAACACACGTAAATGGTCCATGGCTATAGGTTTATGTGTATATAAGTGAAACAAAGACAAAATTTTATCTTTGCTTTGGCCTCTATTTTAACATAAAGGGATGGTATAATTCAGGTGTTGGGGGTAGTTGAGAGTCTAGAAAAAATTATATTTTCTTTGTACTCAATCTTCAAATAATAAGTTTTTTTTTTCTTTTTAATTTTTATTCCTTTCCCCCTGTGCTTTTCTGCACTGACTAGCGGTAGCAGTAGCTAGTCTTGTTCCAAGTCTAATATTACTAGTCTTTCTCAGCATCATCATTTTAGTATTGTGATGTTTGCAGTAGCACTTTTTTTTTTTTTGCTACTTTAAAAAATGTTTAATTTTGGGGTTCCATTTGTGCTTTTCCATATTTGCACATGGTCCACTTGTTTGCTTTTAATACTCTTTATCATATGCTCTCAAACTGTGATGAGAGCCAGTTTTAAAATGATTTCCAATTCACAGCATACTAATACTTTTATAAAATACAGTGAAGATGAATTACTTGAAAAATAGAAGAGATGTCTTAATTATAGGCCAAATTCTTCTTCTGGCTTCAAAAGATTTAAAATTACTCTGTCATATTATTATAAAAGTTTCTGACACTCTCAATATCTGTACTTATGTCATTGCATACCATTGAACACTTGGGAACTGACTTCAGTCTCTGGACCACACTTGAGTGGTCATATGTTGACTGATTAAGGGAATGGTTGAACTTACTAAGAAATTTTATTTTTTAAATTTTTTTAAAGATTTATTTATTTATGCATACAGAATTGGAGTACAGGGCAGATGTGCAGGGGTGGTGAGAGGATTCACCAGAGATAGAGTGGGGAGTAGAATAAGCTGACTGAAGAAGTACATTGCTGAAGGGAGCAGTGGGAGGGCCAGGAGAGGTCTGCCACGCTATATGGGTCACCTCTGGGGTGGGGATCAAACTCATGCTGAAGTGGCTTTAGCTTCTTAGTGCTGTGCTTTAACCCACTGTGCCACCAGGGAGGGCCCTTATTTTTTAATTTTTAAACAAGTCAAACTTTTGGAAGAGTTGCAAGTACAAAGAACTTTTTTGAACGATTTACTAGAAAACTACCAACCTAATGACCCTTTTCCCCTGATGATTTTAGGGTGTTTTTCCTACAAATGAGAATGTTCTTTATAATTACGGAAGGCCCTCATTATTCCAAAGAATCTTGGCAGCATTTAATGTCCTCCTGATGTTGAACAAAACATTATTTGGGGACCTTAATCTCATTATACATCAAACATTTAAATTTGTAGTTTCCAAGAATTTGTGATATTAAGTGACATGTTATTCCATCTGATCCATACATCTCAAGTAGGCTAAATGCCTACTTGAGAATCATTAGGGCGTTAGTCATTAGGGTGTCTATAGGGTTCTTCAGTAGGAAGAGTAACTCAATCATTCTGGCTTTAACACACTAAACACCAACAAATTTTGATTTGTCCCATTACTCATGATTTTAATGTCCTCACTAATGTTGATATTTTCCAGGCTTCTTCATTTTGAAATTACAGTTTTACATTTTAATCAAATATTTTGCAACTATCCAGATATCTTCATCATGCTTCCAGTAAATTTATGTCAGTATGCTTTCCCATTTTATTCTGTGGGTGACACTGTTACTTTTGTCTTGATGCCCAAATTACCTCAGATTTAGTCAAATCCTCTTCAAGTACATGTCTGTTACATTTTGACGTATCACCCTCATCCTTGGGCACTAGCTTTCTGGCATACAAAATAGTTCAGGCTCATCTACTTTCCTCCCTCAGTCTGGGAATCACTCATTTCTCCTGTTTCTTTTTTAAATCGAAGGCTAGTATTTAGAAGCCAAGGTTTAAGTGCTAGATAACACTCATTGCTTCTGAGATGTTGTAATTCTGAATCCCTCTGAATGGACAGAGCTAGGTAAAGAAGTTCACATTAGTATCTTCGATTGTGATCCAGCACAACAGGACTCATTCTGGATTTCCCCTCTCTGTACTTGTAATTCCTGCATCCACTGGTGAAAATCCTTCTTTGAACTGTGCCGCTATGTGTAATTAATTGTCTTTTCAATTGAATTTCTTTCTTACGTGGCTGCCTCACCTGGCTGGGTTTTGTTCCCCTGTGTTCCACACCTCACCACAGGAATCCCTGCACACCACATCCAGGTTCCAACACTCTATGCCACACTGTGTGCAGCATAACATGTATGCAGTACTTCTTATTGACTGACCTGAAAACAAAACCCAAACACCTTGCAGGTGCTTCAATCCCCCTCTTGGTGTTTGAATCCCATTGCTGGACCCCCTCCCCATCCTGACATGAAAGCTCTGTTGACACCACCATTTTCTCTGTGGGGTTTGCCCTTCTCTGAGCTCTGATGTGGTCAGTAGCCTCACAGGTTTGCTTTCATGCTTTTAAGCATCTCTTTACCTGCCTAATGTCTGCCTAGCTGACAGTGGCCACATTCAAGTCTCACTCCTCTAGCGTCTGTCCTGACCAGTCCTCTGACCTGAGCATTTATTATCTCTTCTGTGACACGTGGCCATTCACCTTCTCGTAATTGTAAATTGTAGGGGTAGAGCCATCTGTATTGTTTGTTTCATATACCAAACTGAGTCTGCCATTTTGTGGGACACATAGCACTGGTATACTTCAGGAACTTAGTGAAGGCCAAATGAACTCATGTATGAGAAGTCCTTTAGAGGAAAATTGTTAATGATCATCATTATTGTTAGCATTTCTTATCCATCCTAGAACTTAATCTCTCAGAGGGCAGAAACCTGCATTATCAGAGCCTATTATAGTACCTGACAGTAGAAATCAAGAAATATTTATTGATTTAACTTATTGTCAATGAATTTTAGCTAATTTCCCTCATGTCTGTTGAATGATATGAGATGTGAAATACGAAGTTAAAGATCTACAGGAAAAGGTTAAGTATTACCAAAAATTTTATTCAATTTCTTTTTCCTCCTCCCTCACAAATCTGATAGGTTTATCTCAACATGTAGTTACCAACTATAACCAAGTAATTCAACTCTTGGAGGAGGGAATAGCAAACAGGTAACAGGTTTGTTTGTTCCTGGCTTTTTTTTTTTCAGCTTCATTCTCTGTCCTGTGTTCTCATCCCTTTTGGAGTGTATGATGGTACTTGTCTCTCAGCACACACATTCACAGTGAGGAGACCTTTCTCAGAACAGTAATGCACATAGAGCAAGGTGCAGTGACTGTGATTAATGCTCTTCTCACTGATGATGAGACTGAAGTTTGTATAATATTAGGCAGTAAGCCCAGTCATTGTATACTTTGTCTTATAATTCACAACGTCAGCTATTTGGACCAAACAAAAGATTATTGCCTGCACTGGCATTTCATCAGGCTTGCTAAAATATAGTGTAAAATATTTTAGAATATTATTTTTCTTCTACTGTTGGAGACTTGTAAAGATTTCCCAAAAAAGACTGCTTGAATCTATGACTAAGCACTTTAGACTCTTCTAAAAGCCATTGTAAATTGTAATAGCATTCCAGTTGTTAGCTACTTTGAAATAGCCAGAATGCTATTTATACCTGAAAAAAAATAGCATTTTTTTCTGAAAAATAATGGGAGTTTTAGAGTCTTCTGTAGCAGCTACAACTTCATTGAATATAAAGAAAAAATTTTTTAATTTAACATTCTACCTTTGGGTTTCACAGAACTGTCCTGGAGACACTTCTTTGGTCTTCAGGATATCCTGAGTTACTTTCTCTTTAAGTATCAGGCTTCACCTTTTTCTTTTTATCTTTGAATCATGAGACCAGAGACTAGATTTTTGACTATTTTCTTCAATTCTCTAGCTCCTCTGAGAATGTCAATGAGATGGCCTTAAGTTGAAGTATGACTGACTTAGACTCAAAGGGAAGATCTGACTCCAAGGGTTATTGTGGGAATGCATTAAGGGGGCTATGAATTCCGTGTGACTTAAGCATGGTATTGATGTAACTCAGGATACATTTTCAAAGCCTTTTCTGGCACTATACAATTAATTTTTGCTGTTTTTGAGCCTTTTCTAGTGAGCTGTCTACGTCTACTTAAATTGTTCAGTTAGGTTTGTCTGCTTTGGGTATCTTCTTCCAGGTTGATGATATTCTAGTATTTCCCTGTTCAGCTCTGGGTTTTGCCTCTATTGCTTTAAAAAAAAAAAAGTTTTAATGTGATTTAACTATGTAGATGCTATCTTCCCTGTTATTTTCAGAATCATGACCTCACTGCTTCTAACCTCTTTGAATCCCTCTCCTAATTGTACTGGGCTAAACATGGCTATTTTGTGATTCTTACTGTGAATCTCAATACTAACATTTCTTGTGCTCACCATGGAGCCTTAAGGATCCAGGATTCATAAACAACCTTTGCCATAATGGTCTTGTCTTATATACACAGAATCACAGCAGCCACCCATGTTCACGAGGCAAGCAGCAGATCCCACGCCATCTTCACAATCCACTACGCACAGGTTGGTTACTTCTTATGTTTACTAGATTTCATTCTTTCCTTATTCCTTTTGCAAAATTCTTTTTTTCCTTTCTCTTTGCTTTTCCTCTCTTCACACTTGCATGCACAGGTCCCCTGATAATAAGCCTCTATTATAAGCACCTACAGATACAATCTATTCAGCTACATATGTAGAGTAGAGGCATTTCTTCAAGACTAATCAAAATATTTTCTATTTACATGTTACTTTTTAAAAATTTTATTTTCGGGGCCCTCCCTGGTGGCGCAGCGGGTTAAAGCACTGCACTGAGAAGCCAGGGCCGCTTCCGCATGAGTTCGATTCCCGCCTGCCCCGGAGGTGACCACATGGCG